CTCAGCGCAGGGCGGGCGGAAAGGGCCGTGCGGCGGCGCGAGCGGCGGAGGCTTCTGGGGCGTGTTGAGGTTTGTCCCAGCCCGGCACTTTCCCAGAGCGTCTCAAACCCTGAGTCCACTCTGTAATACAGCGTAACCATTCTGCAAAGGGTTCCCGGAATTTGTCATATTTTTGTAATTTGTCCAGATTGCTAGCCAGTGTCATCTTGAGACTTCCCATCAGCAATGTGGTTCTTTCCGTATTCAAGTCTTCCCATATTATCCTTCCCCGAAGTGTTGGGATTTCCTTGATATTTTGCGCATTTATCGGGGGGGGGGCTTTTGTGATTGTTTCGATACCCTAGCATGGTGTAGTTTTTGGTTATTGATCTACCGGGTCACTTTGTGAACCTTCATAATCTAATAGTTCGACAAAGAATCCACTGACTTCATAGGTAATAGTTCGTCGGTAAATAATAATTAGGGCTTTTCCCAAGAATCCACTCAGCACTGGGCGGTACATTAGTGCTACTTATTTCTAGAAGTTATTTCGATTGATTCTTGTTTACTCGTGATATTTTCTGCAGGTGTTTGTTTAGGTGTTTTGTTTCGTTTTGAGACAGGAGTCTTGAACTCGTTATCTTGTTTCCTGAATAGCTTCACATAGTATTTTTTAAAGCATGAATCAGATTATGTATCCCTCTGCCTTTTCACTTCACTTTAACTTGTATTATTATACTTTACATAAATGACAAATTCCTCACCACTGCCTCAGCATTAGTTGGAGCCCTGACTGCCTCTCTAAACTTGTCAGGTTTCACTGTCTCTCTTCTACGAGACCCTTCTACACTGGCCTCTTTTCAACTCTGCGACTCAATTCCTTAGGGATCGTTGCCCAGAATTCTCCATTCCACCTGCTCTCCCCATGGCTGACTCAGCCATCAGGTTTCAGTTTGATTTGGCGAGGTTGTTAACAAACAACACAATTTACTCTGCGTGAGAAAGGGGCTTTTAACAATTCAATGCAGCTCACAGAATCTCAGGGCAAGGGTGGATGTAAAAACACCGGAACACACTAGATCTAGAAGAAATCAATCGCTGCCATCACCGCTCAATACAACTGCATTTCCACAAACACTGGTTGCCACAGGCTAGCAAGAGTGGACATGTTTCCTCCTCTGTCTTACTTCCAAGGTGGAGTTGTGCATGGCAGTGCCTCCTTGGAGGGGCCCAGGTCACATGCCTGTGCCATTTGGAGATCAGCGAGCCTATTTTCTCATAGCCAATTCCTCAGGCATTGTAAGTTCTGGGCTTTTGGAAAACATTTCACATGAACACTAAACACTGTGCAACCATAAAGGCCTTCCCTGACTACCCTAAGTGCATTTTCCCCGCCCTAGCTCATCTATTCCCTCACTGTCCTTCCTGTTTTAAGGCACTTATCACAACTTACATTGTTATATACTTTTTTTGTCCAAATACTTCATAAACCCATCAGTTTTGTCCCTATATGGAGTTGCAAATACATATATTTCAAACAGACAAAAAAAATGTATTTTAGTCTTTAATGCAGACCTCTTAGAAGAAAAAAGCATTAAGGAGGCCCCAAGTTGCAATTCCCAGCAGCTCCCAGAGTTTTGTATTCCCCTTCCTCTCTTAATTCTCCCCAGTTAGGTGGATGGATCTTTGGCTTTTCTCCATATATCTTGTCACTGGGCTCTCTCTTTAGAGGTCTTTTGCCTGTTCTCTTATCTTGCATTGCAAACACCCAGAACTAGTCTAAGAGAAATATTTTCTCAGGGCTCAGGGGAGAGAAGTTGAAAGGGAACATCTATCACACCAGGGAGGCTGGGAACACTTACATACTGATCATTTTTCTTTCTCAATTGTAGTGACATTACAAATGGCAAAATACAGTCAAACCCAGCAACTGAGATGTGACACAGAAGTAGGGAGCACAGAGCAAGAGCTCTCGGCCTAGGCAAGGGTGAAGTGGGAGCAGGGTGCTACTTTGGGAAGGCAATGCAGAAGAGTCCAGGCCTGAGCAGAATTTTGAAGGGCAAGCAGTCACCAGGCAAAGGAGTTAAGGAGACAGCAAAGCATTCCTGGTAGTCCTGCAGCACAAGCCCAGACACATACCAGATGGTGTACGTGGTATTGCTAAACACAAACTAGGAGAAATGGCAGGAAAGGCTGGGGGATGGGTGGGCATGAAGGGCCTTAATATGCCATCCACGGGGGCTGGGATTCATCCTCGGGCGCAGTCACAAAGTGGAGTGGGGAGTCCCACTTAGATTCCATTTCAGATCGGGTGACAGCACTGATGCTAGCTTTAAAAGCGGCAAAACTCAAAGTAGAACAGTTGTGAGTTTTAAAAAAGATGTAGGCTTAAAATGGGTAAGTGATATACAGTGATATACAGAATCATTTGAAGAAACTACTGGAGGTCAATTTGGCCGTTAAATTATTAACAAGTATTTGGAGGGTAGAGAGGAATCTAGTATACAAATGCCGGCCTGCGTGCTGTCACTAACCGAGGTAGACGATGTGGAGGAGAACAGGTTAGCAGTGGTGAGGACAGCGGGAGACTTCTAGGTAAGCTGTGGTAAGGTGGGCTTTAAAGTACTGCACCTGTGGACTCCTCAGCAGAGGTCAGCAGGTACATGGACGCCTGAGTGTGCGGCCTAAGAGGAAGAGGTAGTTGACGGTGGACTGATTGTCCAGCTCCCTCACGAAGGCTTTGTGCCTTGCCGCCCCATTTATACTTGTATTCAGGACTGGCACTTGAACCTGGCTGTTATTATCTCTTATTTTCCCTAAATCACCAAATTTAGAGGTTGAGATTCAGACCTATTTATATATCAATATGTGCACAGACTCGCCCTACTGTGACCATTACATACCTTCCTCAGGGGTAGGCACTCCTCCTTTTTGCCTAGTACCTTGTGGTGGTGGTGGTGTGATTCCACCAAAGTGGAAATAAAATTTTAAATGTATTGATGCATAATTAAAATAATTAGATAAAATGAGAGGAAAATTGTTTACATGGATCCACTTTAAAAAATAAAAATCAAAACTCTTGTGAAACACTACTTTCACTTAATCACTGTATCAGTGATGGAGCCTGAATTCCTAAACCATACCATGACATGCTTTGTATACACTGAAGTTATTAATAGACAAAGCCAGTATTTTGCAAGCTCACTTTAAAATATTTTCCAAATCAACTGCTTAAAAACTAATTACAACATGATCTTCAGCTCCCAGGAGACAGAGTGACCTTGGACATGGTTAGAAACAAAGGAACACGACACCCCAGTCTGGCCTTGTGGGTTAGAGGTTGTGTCCTGCTATCTGAGTTGATGTGTTGATCGCCACCATACTAGAGCTTGCCAGAAGCCACAGTGTAGTTCTCAAGTACAATTCTACTGTGCATGTATTTCTTTGAATTTAATACTCGGGTGACACCTATGGTATGAGTCTTTAGCATCTTGAAAATTGCTCAGGAGAAGCTAAGAAGGTTCCTGTCATTCCTAGAAGTAAGTAATACAATCCATGGCTCTTCAGTAGGGTGAACTGCACAGAAATGGGAAGATGTGTGGTTGCCCTGAGGCCCTGGCACTTGTCTCCCAAAACTCGGGAGAACCAGCCCATGTAGGACCAATGGCAACAGTACATTTCAAGTTAGGAAAACACTATTGTTTGGGTTAAGCTCAGGCTTGCCAAGAGCTGTAGATACATGTAGATCTGTATGGACAGATGCCTCAGAACACGATCATTTCTGTTCTTCAGAAAGAAGTCTGGACTCTAAGCTTATATACATTCCCATTTTCATAGCAACTAGTGACTTCAAACGGTCTCCAAAAAGAACATAAGCTACTGTGTTTAGATCTGATTAATTCTGAAGCATTTTCAGCTGGAAACTCTGCTACCTTTGTGTCCTCAGGGTTAGGAGCAGAGTACCTGAGACACTTCACTAAGCACCAGTAAGAGATAAGACTAAGACTTCATGTTAAAGAAATTTTCTGTGAGATGTAAAATATAAATAACAAGAAGATAGTCTACGAGTTCTATGTTTTCAACTTCAGCAGAGTAGAATGTAGGAAGAAAACAGCACTTTGGAAGTTTTAAACTAACTTCAAACATAAAAGACAAAAAGCCCAATACGAGGGCGCACTGAGTCTAAACCCATCGCGCGTGTCCTCTTCCGCGCTCCTGGCCTCGAGAGGTCTTCTTGTCACTCCATGAACAGGGACTAGAGCTCTTCCAGGTCAGTCAAGTCCACGGCCACTTTCAAGAACAGCGTGTCGTCTTTAATGTAGGTGTTCTTGGAGTGCTCCAAAGTGGAATGAGCCACAAAGCGGGGACAGCCAGATGCGATGTTCATCTCTCCGTCGGGTTTTTTAAAACTGCTGCTATTGGGATCAGCTTTGAAGGTCTCCATAACGTGGTTCTTTTTGCCACTCTGGTCCAAAAGCATCAGGGTGACCCTCTGCCTGAATGGCCACTGCAAGAGTGAGTCAAACTCCCCTCGCATCACCACAAAGTACAGGGACAGGTGTGTCCCCTTCCCGGACCCATCGCCATTCAGATACGCTCTAGCACAGAGCCGGTAGCCGCAGCGGCTGGTGTAGAATGGCTGGCTGAAGATGGACACTGTGTGCCCGTCCACGGCCTCTCTCTTCTTCATCTTGTAGTCTGTCACCTTCCAAATGAGCTTCCCATTATAGCAGGCACCCTCAAGCAGTTTAAATCGCTCTTCATTTTTATTCAGCTGTGCTTTATGGATATTAATGTGGGCATCATGTTTGTTAGTCTCCCCTTCTAAAACAACTGCAAAGGAAAAAAAAAGGTTTCACACACTTGAAAGGTGTCTTTACAACGTGCCCAAAGTGGAATTTTGTTACCTAAAAAGAACCAATCAAATTTGATATCCTAAAGATGAACTAATCTCACTGTTCCCAAATGGACCACTTGTTAACTCAGTGAACAGCATGTCTTAGCAAAGTGGCACCAAAAAGTGGGAACGTGCAGTATCACGTGAAGCTTGCCAGGGTATAGCGAAGACAGTTACGCATTTGCCTGGTGTGATTCTCATATGCACAGCAGGTTCACCCTTTTCTAACTAGAACGCTTTTGTTTTTAACAGTGTTGAGCACTGAACCCCAGGCCTCATGCTCTCTAAGCAATCCCTCTACCACTGAATGCCCTTTTGTGTTTTCCCATAGCTGAAATAAGTCGTCCCACCACATCTCTCCCTTCGCGTTTTCATTATTTCCTTCTCTCTTTAAAAATCACCACTTCTGCTGTTTGGAATTTCCTGCTGTTTCTACCCACTGCTGTTTCCAGTGTAGGCCTCCCTCATGTTTGCCTGAGCAGCCAGAATCTCACAAACAGCAGACTCAGACTTCTTCACCTGGAGAGATGGGAGTGCAGGGCCAGGTGTCTGCAGAAAGACAGGCCATGAAAAGAGACCTAAGATGTTAGACGTACCTAATCGTCGGTCATTGGTTTCTAACAGGGCGATTTTTTGTTTCACTGCATCAACTGCTTCCACCAAAGACCTCAGGTCAAGCTTATGTTGCTGCTGGTTAACCATCTGCAACAACTGACACACTTGAGCTTCTAGCCAGGCAGACTTGTCAATGTGACCGGCAAGCACCTTTTAGGACAAAATGGATAATACTCAAAAACATTTAGTTACTATTTTAATAATTCATTGAGATTAAATTGTTTAAGTCAAACATTTCACATTAATCAATTAATGAAGTTAAAAACAGCCTAGAGGAAGCCAGGCGTGGTGGTGCACGCCTGTAATCCCAGCACTCGGGAGTCTGAGGCAGGAGGATCGCTGTGAGTTCGAGACCAGCCTGGGCTACATAGTGACTTCCAGGTCAGTCTCAACTACATAGTGAGACCCTGTCTCAAAAACAAACAGTCTAGAGGAGAAACTTCAGTGAGGATCACAGAGGAGTCTTTATCTTCCTCATCCCCTCCTACCCCAATGCCTGTTCCAATCTTTGACGGCTCACCCTCCCTCACTTCTCCACTTAACTCTCTAGCATATCTCTGCTGTGTGCTCTGGCTGCCCCTCCTCTGGCCTGGTCACTGCCTTCTTCAAGAAACTGATCTCCCAGTTCACTCTTGCTCTGCTGGACCCAGGCAGGCCCAAGTACTCCAGTGCTGTTTCAGGCGGAAGGGAATAAACCACCTCACCTTGCCTGAGTGCCTTAATTCTAACTGGGCGGTCTGCGTATTTGAAAAGGTTAGAACTGAGACAGTAGCATTAATGGATTTCTTTTTTTCTGGACACACTCTTATATGCATATCATGCAATATATACACACATATATACAACATATACATGTATATATAACATGTGTGCATGTATATACATGTGTGTACAAAACCATATATATATATAGAGAGAGAGAGAGAGAGAGAGAGAGAGAGAGGACAAACACTGAATTTAAATGGCCTAGATTTTCTGAGGTAATCCAAATTTCAAATCATTGCTTTGAAACAAAATAAATGATAATAGGAAGTAGGGAGACAGGTCATTCTCAAACTGGAAAAGGAATCAGGAGATGGGGGTGAGGGGATAAGGGGTGGAAAGGAACCAAGCTGTGTCGTGTATATGCACCAACCCACGGAACGCGAACAGTACGTCCTGAAACATGCGCAGAAAAATAAAAGGCAGGGGATTGAGAGCGGCAGAGAGAAGAGAAAAGGAATAGAAGAGAAGTAAAGATGTGTGATGTTCAGACACCAAGTTCCCGCAAAGAATGTAAACATTACGCACTTCATGCATGTATTAATACACTAAATCATTGCCTTGAAATCTTTTGTTATATCTTCTTTATGTCTTGAAATGTTTCACTATAATTTTATAATGAGAAAGCCATATTAATCAGAAATCCACTTATGATTACTTAATATTCATAATTAACAAGGCATTTTAGCTACATTTTAGTGATGTTTTCAGTATTTTCTTCCCACGAGAATAGTTTCACTTTGTTGTCTACAAAATGCAGAACTACATGCTCTCGATGAATCAGAAATGGAGGAACAGTCACACAACGTAATTAAAACCCTAACTGCCACAGATGATAGGAGAAGATTGTATACATGTTAAATTTACTGAGTTCATTACATGTGCGGGGGCCAGGACAGAACTCTGTACACTCCTTGGAAACCCCGCCTTGTGTAGATAAAGGACTTGACACTGGTAGAACACTGAAATGCTTTAGGAAAAGCAGCGGTGGGAGGGGCAGAGGGTGCAAATGAGGAAGTAACGAGGCAGACACAGAGCGGCGAGTCGGGACGCACAGACGTTCTTTGCACCATCTTATTCTTGCACTTTCATGCTGTATTTGAAGTTACTTAGAAAGGTAAAAGGAAAATCCTCACTGCCAATGGAAAGCAAGGTCTCAGCTCCGAGTGGAAAGGCTGCTTCTTACCTGTATGTTTGAGAGGAAGCTTCCATTTTTGCCAAACAACTGTGCAAACTGCTTGAACTCCTTTTCAAATTTCCTCACAGTTTCCTCTAGCTGCTGGATTTTACTTTCTTTTTGCCCTAGGCTCTTATATAAGTCAGAGATCTAACATCAGAAACGTGAATAAAGAAAAATGAGGTCACTGAAATGCATACATCCAAGTTAAATAGTACTTGCAGGTAAGAACATGTTTCTAGGAATACATATATTTCTATGAAAACAGATTCCTATATAATTCTAGGGAAATATTTTCAGGTAGTTTAAAAAACTGAGATCCACAGAATTTCACATCAGCCTGTTGTCATCACTTGGCTGAACTTGCTGTTCATTTTATCCACTCGTTATGCACTTACTAAATAACCAGAGTACTGATCCCCGCACCTCGTTAGACGTTATCCACATACTATCTACAGCAATAAGGGCTGAGTTTGCTGAATCCCTACCACATGTTACGGTTTCTATCTAGATGTCCCCCCAAAGCCTCATGCGGTCATCGATGGGGCTTTGGGGAGGTGACTGGATCATGGGGCATGATGATTTAGGGCTAAAGGTGATGCTGGGAGGTGACGCCTGGTCTATGGAGGTGGGACGCTGGGGGCGTGGCCTGGAAGGGCACCCCCTCTCCGGCTCCTCCCTTCACTCTGCTTCCTGCTGCCCTGCAGGAGAAGCTGCCCTCAGCCGTGCCACCCTGCCTCTACTATGGACTGAAACCCGTACAAACAAGTCACAATAAAGGTCTCTTCCTTTAATTTGCAAACATCAGGCTGTGCTACAGCAACCAGGGAAATAACTGACACAACACTCATGTTCGTGAGCTCTTTTAATCCTCGAAGAACCCCGAAGAGTTAGATATGGTCCCATTTTTTCAGATGAGGAAACAGACATGTGGAGTTTGAGGAACCTGTCCAGCACAAAGGCTCGCAGGTGGTAGGCAAAACACATGAAGAGAGTATTGAGAATTTGTAATTTATTTGAGGAAAACACCTAGAAACCTAAAAGTGATTCTACACAATTCTGTCCCCCACTTCCGTTATATACAGTGCCTGCCAACTTTACCTCCTAACACAATACAAGAAACTCCTAAAGCCATTTGTCATTTCCTTGTCTCTTTTTAATATCACTTCAACCTTTACTATTTCTCACTGGGTCTGTGACAGTCAGCTTCCTTCCTAGTCCTGTACAGTACCTTCTGCGCTGACACACGGCAGAATACAAGCCCCCAGCAGCTGGTGCTTGCATGGACCTCACTACCCACTGGAGCCCAGCGCCTGGATGGGGGCCTGGTACCAGCTTAATAAATACTTGTCAAGGAATGGGTGTATGAATCTCCTTATCTAAATACGTATTTTACTGTACTGAGGATTGAACTCGGGGCCTTCACACTGAGCTGTATCCCCAGCCCTTTTTCCATTTCTTATTTTGTGATAGGGTCTCACTAACTCGAACAGGCTATTCTCAACCTTGTGATCCTCCTGCTTCAGCCTCCCAGAGGACTAGGATTATAGGCTCACTCCCCTGCAGCCAGTACCGCCTTTAATCTTGCTCTCCACCAATTCATATTCTATTCTGTAACCAAAACACTGTTAAGGGAAAATCTAGTCTTGTGCCTCCCCTTCAGTGGCTTTCTTTTGTAGGCCACCCTGGCTCCGGTCATCTGCCCCGGCTACCCTTTCAGCCTCCTGCCCATTCACAGCCCATGTGTTCCTGCCCAGGAAGGTCATGTGTCTCCTTGTTCCGGTCAGGTCTGTTCTGATACTTCCCTTGTCACCTAGAAACTACGGCCTTTTAAGCTGCCGCTCAAGGGCACACCTCTGCAGTAAGTATTTGCTGACTAGCAGTCCCCGCCTACCCACCTCAGTCCATGATACCCTGGCCTCAGGTCAGCTACCACTTATCCCTCTCACTGTTATACCTGCTTTGTTCCCCATTAAATTGGTTCTTGGGGCTGCATCTCTCTTATTTCTTTACCCTGAGCCTGGCCCAGCTCCTGGTGCCCAGGGCAGACGTCCCCCACCCATCCACTGTCTCCCAGCCCTTACTTCCAAGCACACCTGTCTCACGGTGCCCACGTCAGTGAAGAGCCTCCCACTTCCCTGCCCCTGAACTGGCAGCACCACTCACCCTCAAACTTTCTGAGCAGGCTCTGCAACCCACTCACACAACCATGTTCGTGCCTTCACCAACTCCATCACCACCTCCAGCACCCTGCTGCCGCTTAACACTGAAATGCTTGTGCTGAGAGCTGAACCGTGTGACCTCATCCCCCAAACCACAGTCTGCTGACGAATGAGAGACCAGGGCAGGGAGAGGTGAATCAGCTTCCCCAACCCAGAGGCCAGCATGGGCCATGCTGCAAGCCCAGATCTTTCGGCTCCAGCACGCTCACTCCAATATCTGTCTTAGTTTTTAAAAACTGAACTGGGCTGGGGATTTAGCTCAGTAGCACAACGCCCGCCTTCCAAGTGCAAGGTTCTGAGTTTGATCCCCCTACAAAAAAAGAACAATTATCTGATCAAGTATTTTCCTATTTGAAACCCCCACTATCCTCTTATTACTGGTAAACATTAGTTCAAACTTTTGGCCTTTACATTCTTCCTGAAATGAAGCAAAGTATGCAGAATAAAACAATAATCGAACACACAGTGTGAGAGAGAAACTTCCACATTGCATGAAACGCAACTGTAATCCGAATCCAACACGACAGTCTCCAGCCATTCCCTGTCTGACACTTGGAAGCATCTGAAAATCTCAGTGCCTTAAGCTGGCAGCATCTGGTATGCCTCCTGCCTTGGATCAAGCTCCCTTTTTTGGAATCTTTCTGCCACAACACTGTAACTGACTAATCTTTTCTTCCCTCAAGATGCAGCCTGTACATCCTGCCTTGTGTTCAATGTCCCCAGAGTTTTCTGCTGCAGCCTCTGTACCCAGACAGTTTATGGTGTGTCCCACCAGGCACAACTTATGGGTTTACATTTGTTTGCATTCCCAGACTCACTGTCCCAGAAACGAACACTGTCCCTGACCTATGGGAGGTGTCTGTTGGACGAATGGGTGGACAGGTATTGCAATTGTCAAGAAAGAATTTTCAAACAGTTATGCGGCAACATACCTTCTACTCCTTCTACCAAAGTTACTCTTTCATCAGTCTTTCTAACTTTCTCCAGGATGTGATCCTGGAACTGACACACCTGATTTAGAAACAGATATCATAAAATAATGTGCAATAATAAAATTCGACTCCTTCCCCAAAGACAGTTTTCTTCCCATTTGGGCTGAAAAAATCTGATCCTGCTGGGCATGGTGGCACACACCTATAATGCCAGCACTCTGGGAGGCTGAGCCATGAGGATCACATGCCTAGGCAACTTAGCAATTTAGCAAGGTACTTTATTATGATAAAATATTTTCAAAAACACTGAGGATGTAGCTAAGTGCAAAGATTCTAGATTCAATCCCCAGTACCAAAAATAAAAAGGGGGGAAAAAAAGTATGATCTTCTGAGATGTTCTAACAGAATAATTAATTTTCATAATCACCACTCAGAATCATCAGTTATTGAGGTCTAGTCTGAATGCTCCAAGAACTATGACATAATTTCACCTGATAATCATAGTTCAGTGACGTATGTAAATATGAAGTAAGTCAACATTTATCATGTTACAAAGCTTCTCAAAGGCAGTTTAAACTTATTTCTAAATTACTAAATTCCATAATGCCTAGAATAGTCAGCTGGTGTCTTATGGTAATACTGATTTAATTTTAAAACATCAAACATCTAAGTTCCAGGTAGTAATCAGAAGGTTCGTGGTGAGGCGGTAGGGTGTACCGTGAGGAGCATGGCTTGACCTTAAATCCTGCCACTGACAAGTCACACACATCAGCCCTTCTTTGAGTTTAGTTACTGCACCTGTTCAATGAGGGGGTTGGAGCCGAAAGTCTCAGGGGTGCCGCTACCCTAATGTTCTATGATTCTGTTAGCCTGCGTGGCCACTGAGGATGGAAACGTCTACCTCCAGTTAACCTACTCGGAAGCGGAAGAGGATGAAAAGGGGGACACTTGGAGCAGGCGAGTCCTGGCAATTCCAGGGAATCCCTCTTCAGGGACTCTTGAAGCTCACCTGCTCTTCCAACCAGAAGTTCTTCTCCAGAACCAGGAGCATGTGTTCTCGCAAGGCTGACTGTTCATGCTCCTGCAGGTTACCTCGCTTACCCTTGAGTACAAAGACAAAACAAAGCCCAGTTACCGAGAGGCCCCAAGAACAAAGGAGGCACGGGGACATTGTGCTGAAGCAGGACCTCAGCAACCTCGCTGCTTTAATTCTACAGATCCACCCATCTCCAGGTGGGTACAGGAAAAGTGATTCTGTGGTCTGTTTTCCAGCTTTGGGATTCTACAGTGCCCACAAAGCAATCTTAAACTTAACAAAGAATCATGCCCCTATCAAAACCCTTGGCTCTGACTTTCTTCCTGGCCCTTCCTGTGAGTTAGGCGTAATCACTAGCCTCTCTCAGCAGTTCCCTGTGTCCTTGCTGGATTCTCTTAGACTACATTTCAGCCTAGGAGGATTCCCCTCCCATCAGCACGTCTATACTGCCTTCCACCACTGCCCTGTTGTCAAGGGCAGAAGGCTGCAAACTAATCTTAGCCCATGCAAAATAACACCCATAAAATCGTAGAATAATTGTGCAAGAAGAAATGGATTCTTAAAGCACTTATTTGCAAACAGCCTCTATTACCAGTAGAAGCAAAGGTTAGTGTTCCAGGGAGTCCATGAATTCTTAAGCACACGTTCACCACCAGTTTCCCTTCGGTTTAGGACTGGCCCCTCTGGTGAAAGGCTGTCCCAAATAAGGTTCCAGAGAATGGCTCCTCCAGCCACCCCCAGCTCTGGTACTGAGGTAAGTTCTAGAATCCAACCCAGATAGAAGTTTGGGCCTGACTGAAAAGACCTTTTTCAGAGCTGGAAGGCAGTAGTGCCTAAAGGAAAACCCTATCATTTCTTCAGCTAAGACAACTACAGACATTCCCGGTTTATTGACATACTTGTTTAATGACTGCTCAGGCCTACCACCCATCTTTTTTGGTACAGTTCTGTACACCTTATTTATACATCCTCAATGTCTTTTTCTGCACAGTACCCCTTGTTTATACAGTTATTTCTGCTGATTTACTGTATAGTACAGTACTATTGTTTAATGCTGTGTTATACATTACAGCACTACATATAAGAGTTAGACAATTAAAAGCAAAATTATCAAGCTGGAGTTTCCTTTGGCCATTTCTTTGTTCTGAATACTGTAATGTACACACTCTGTGCAATTCTTCATTTAGCGATTAATTAAATAGTAATCTACTCACAGGGACTGAGCTCCCTTGTAAAAGACAAATGTTTGCACTGGTTTGATTTGGTCAAATTTAGGCACTCTTCACCAATTTTTAAAAAATTTTTTAATAGTTTTTTTACAATAAAAGAAATAGGTCAAACAATATAGCAAGATGCAGAATGAGAAGAAAAAGGGCTCTTCTCTCCATCTGAGCACCCAGTTCCCTAGTCTTTCACACGACCGTCAACAAAGGCAGGCACACAATTTTAACACAAATGAAACCAGACTACACTTATTTTTTCTCACATATATCTCATTCATTTATATCAGGTGCACATTATTTCTAAATATGAATATATCATGATACAGCTGGTCCTTTTGTGATGAACTTACAGGTTGTTTTTAACTTTGGTTTGGTTTTGTTTTTTGTATTCAAACAGTATTATCATATGTACCTTGTGTATATGTGTGCTTGTGTATATATGTATGTTATCACTGCACACTTATGAGAGGATACTGTGACGTAAATTCCTAGTCATATAACTGCAAGTTAGTGAATGGGTTCCCTTTTCATAGATATAATCAAACTGCTCTAAAATCAGTGAAAGTTATAAAATGTCTTAATCTTTGTCAATTTGATGATGAAAATCATATTCCTTGTTGTAATTTACATTTATTTCTAAGTAAAATTGAGCATCATTTTGTACATCATGAGCACTTTTGTACATAAGCCAGGTGGATTTTTCTTGAACTGTCCATATATTCCTTTTCCTGTTTTCCATTAAGTTGTTTAATTTATTCATATAGAAGACTTCTTTGTATAGTAAGGAAAATAGTCTCTTTTCTGTCTGCTTATATGTTTCAAAGCTTTGCTTCCAGTTTGTGGTTTGCTATTTAACTTTAAAAATCATGTAGAAGTTTAAAATATTTTCTATGAAACTTATCCAAATGATGGCCTCTGGCCTTGCGTTAGTCATCTCATAAAGAACTTTTTGAGAATTTAAAAATTCACTCATCTTCTCTTCTACTATTTTTATGAATAAAATAAAATAAATTTTATTTTGGAGCAACTTTAGATTTACAGAAAACATAGAATGATAATACAGAACATAATATATTTCATTGTCTTAAACTTTGATCCATCTGGAATCTGTTGAAAGGCCTGAAGTGGAGATCAAACTTTATTTCTTTTAATTTAAATTTATTTTATATAACTTACTGAACAATTTTTTTTTTTGGTACCGGGGATTGAACTTGGGTCTTTGCAAGACAGGCCACTGAACCACTGAGCTAAATCCCCGGCCCCTGAACAATTATTTTAAGGCTACAGTAAGTCCCCAGGTAATGAACAAGTTCTGTTCTGGAAGAACTGCTCGTAAGTCAGATCTATTCATAAGCAGACAGTGCACCTGGGAAAGTTCACAACTCAAATGTTCCTAAGTCCGGACTTACTGTGTATTAGAAGTAATAAAAAAAAGCCTATGGTTCCTAGCTGTTTCTAGTCTAAGTAACACTGAGAAGATACTTTGTAGACACGATGAACATAATCGGCTTATGTTATATAAACAAGATTCTCCACCCATACGTGGGTGGGCCTCATCTGCTCGGGTGAAGCTTTCCCAGAAGAAGCACGTCACAAGACTGCAGCGCAGAAGCTCCAGCCTGAGTTTCTAGACTGCTGGCCTGCTCTGCCCTGCAGATTTTGGAGTTGTTACTTTCACAACTGCATGAGCCTATTATTTATATATAGGTATTTTTATGTAGAACTCTAATATAATTAAAATATTAAAGTTCTCTGGATTATAAGTCCTGAATCATGAGTGGAATCAAAGAGTAACATGGACTTGCCAAGTAGAATGCAAAGGCAGAAACAAACAGGCATCTCATACCTTTACAGCACAGCCATAGTGCTTGAAAGGACAGTGTTGTTCGGCTTCTGGACACACAGCAAGATGTTCATCCACCTATAAGACAGGCAGCCTCAAGCTATGGAAACTCTCCACCAAATCTCCATGCTTGGAGTGGCTGCAGTGAGCAGGAGGCCCCAGCGGGTGAGCAGGGGAGGGCAGGACCAGCACAAGGAGAGCACCTGGCCAGGAACAGCTCAGATGGGTCCTGAGTTTGCAGGGAGAAGGCAAAGGAGGATCGGGACGGGGCTCCTGTGGGGAGATTCAAACCTCAGCCCTTCACATTTGGGTTTTTAGCAGGGAGCGCTTGAACTATCTTATTATGTAGAACATACGGAGAGGAGTACAGTTACCTCGGTTCTTGGAATAATCTGCGAACACTTGTTGGGACAAGATACTGGATACTCAGGACACAAGTTCTCCTCATGATTCTGAAACAGAAAGTATGATGAAACAAGACCAAGGCTCCTCTCTTCTCCCCTCACTGAGAATGCAGACCTGTCTCTTGGGGATATTTGTCTTGCCTTCCATAGGGATTTATAAGATACTCCCCAAAAGGTTAAATGAATTCAATTAAAAAACTAAATGCTCTGATTGTTCAAACAGAACATCAGAGAGCAAGGGACTCTAAGAAGGAAGCCTGGGCAATTACCAGGGTGCCCCCTCTGGCCTCTGGAAAAGGTGCCCACACTCTGCCTATCCAGTGCAGTCACAGTCTGCAGGGCAGAGTCACTGTCACCTGCCCGCCACAAGGGCTCACACCACTCCTTCCATGTGCAGCAGGTGTAATGCTAGCTTCACCCATGATAAATGAACAGCACCCTGCCAATAAGGCTCTGAGCTACAGACTTGATTCTGTGCAGACAGCTGCAGCAGGAACTTTCGGTGTCCCTCCAGCCTACTCCACTGTGACTGCTCAGAAGAGCGTGGCCCTGGGGAGGAGGCTGCCCTGTCACCTGGAGATTGACCACTACTATGTCCTTCCTGCAGTAAAGGCATCTCTCCTCCCGGAACTGGCAGTGTGTGCTCAGGTGCTCCTGCAGGTCTCTCCGCAGCACAGCTTCCCGGCAGTTCTTGTTGGAACATGGAATGGCCTGGAACGGGCACTGCTGCAGGTGGTCCTGCGACAGACAGCAAGAGGCCAGTGGGCCAGCTGGAAGGCCCGAGGGTGAGAGCAAAGCCAGCTGGGCAGAAAGGCTGGCACAGGGCGGGAGGTGGGGGGCCCTGGAGCTGTCACGAAGGTCACTCACTGCTTCTGCTGAGGAGCGGCTGCTGGAACCAGAGGCTGCAAAAGCCACCTTGTTTGGCAGGAACTAGGAGAGCGGACATCAGGGCAGGGGACATGGCCAGGTGTATTTCAGATGACCCAGGACCCTGCTTATCATATTGCTAGATCAGTTCTTGGCTATTTTCCTGCGGCCTGCCAGTTAGGGTACTGGCTCTTTGAGGACATTTTTATTTCTTTTGAGCAGTCTCCGTCCCTACCTACAACCCCTGTACTGGCCTCTGCGCTGCACATGGCGGAAGATGGGGCAGAAGGAAAACAGAGAAGGAGAAGAGGGCATAACCTGACTCAGTGAAGGAGAGAGAGGACCAAGGATCGGGAGAAGTGACAGGCCCCGCCCAAGCAGACCCACCACGCACGTCGGCAGCAGCACAGAGATAACAAGCAGCCAGCAGCTACCCTGTTGCTCTCGCCATCACCCCATATCAACCGCACACACCCTCCTCTCTGTGCCAACGGCCTTCATGCCCTTGGCCCATCTGTACCCAGATGGCAAAAACTTAAGCATGTTGCTTTAATTTTGCCTGCCTCAATGGTCTCAATCATGCCTCGGTCTGACTTTACAAAAAGGAAGGGGAGGAGGTTGTCCCAGAAGCAAGAAAGAAAGAGACAAAGGAAACACAGGCCCATGGGCCACGGAGTAGCCAGGAATGCTCTGCCCTGTAACATCAGAAAATACTTTAACCAGAGTATCGGAGATCTATAACATTGGATTCTTCACATTCTAGATTTTTTAACAGCAGATAGGTCTCCATAAAAGCCACTGGATCACTGCAAGTGACTGTGATGCTGACAAGCTGCTCAAATCCTGGTGAATGTGATTTCCTTTAAAACAGAGCTGTCCAGCAAACTATTCATTCACATCCTATCTGTGACCACTTTACTCTGCAGCCAGGGGGCTGTGTCATTACAATAGATTCTGCACAGCCTGCAAAGCCAAAAATATTTACCACTTGCCCTCTAACAGAAACAGTTTGTGCCTCTTCTCTGAAGGAAAACAGAAGGAACAGATTTCCGGCATCCGGATAAGGATGACAGCTATTTGCCTTCACCACTGGTAGTAAAAAGCAAATGAGGATGACAGTCAAAATCTGAGTCTTCTCCCGAATTTACAGATCCTAGCCCTCCACTCTTACTAGTCAACATTCATGGAACTCTGCCTCCTTTTGGAACCAGCACCTTGCCACATGAAGGGGAAGGGATGCGCATTGCGAGAAACACTGAGGAGACAGGTGGAAGACACCAGCCTGGTTCTCTGGAAGGTTCTGGCCCCTCCAGCTGCAGTCCATTGGGACCCATTTCATTTGCAGGCTCAGTGACAGCAGTGTTGGCAAAGACGCCTAGGTCTTGGGCCTACCATAAAAGCAAGGGGCCAAGGGCTGTCATAGGATGAGAAAGCTCTGCGATCCCCCAAAGCAATCCTTGGGTTCACAAGGAAGTCATTTGTTATTTATCACCTAAGTGCCTAGGGGTTCGGAGGCCCGATAAAGAAAAAGGCTGAGTCATCTGAAATACCATCCAAGCTGGGTGGTGTGAGCGGAAATTGTCAGCAGCTTCCAAGCAGCTCCCTGGAAGCCAGAGATGGCTGAGTCTTGGTCACTTGCAGTGTGATCCAGCGGGCCTGGCAGGCAGGGCCGCACTGCCAGTGTCTCATTAACAGCCTTCACGGCCAGATGAAAGCACAGCTCAGACAGGAACTCAACTCCCCCTCACTTAAACTTTCCCTAGACCTGTTTGTTTCTCACACCAATGCTTCACCTTTAAACCACATCCTATTGCAGGTCTGTGATCTGCTTAGGTTCCACATCCTGCAGGCCAGGCCCACACACCTGAGCTCCAGGTGCAAGGGCAAACACTTGGCAGCCATGCCTGGCTCCTACCCAGGGACCCCCTGTCCTTCACAGTTCCCCCCAAATGACCCATCCTTGCTTGATTGTTTCTTTTGCTCAGCATGACTCACACTTTCTTTTTTGGTGTGATGACCTTACCACAACTTAGGGTGTGGCATACCCAGCATGCCCTCCCAGTGCCCCCCACAAAATGAACCCCTTCTTTCACATCCATACCTGCGATGTGCTTCAGCAGCATGTGGTGCCACCCAGGAGGAACCCTCAGAGGGCAACCCAGGACTCTCTCCACATGCCCACCCAGGAAATGTCACATAAGGGGGCCCGATACAGAGGTGGCAAAGGCAAGCATTGGTCATACCAACCTGATATCGTCCCAGAATCATCTTGGCACTACATCCAGGGGCATTTTTGCAATACACATATAAATTGAGGACTTCCCTTTTGCAGCAATTGTCTTTAAACACCTAGGAGACAAACATGTTAGGTCTCAGACCCTCCAACACTTTATAGGAATGCAAATGAAGCTATCATTAGTTTGGTCTTCAAGCACATCTCAAAAGTCAGATGGAAACTTCCACAGAGTTTGTGGAAATAACACCCTCACCATGACCCTAAAAGGAAAGGCTGCCTCGGATACGTGCTGATACACTCTGACAAGCCAGGTAACTGGGTACTCAGTGCCGGGGGAATCTCAAGTGAACTCCACCCACACAATCTGGATGCTGGACATGGGACTACGGGACTTAATGTTCGCCCTGCTGGATTTTCGTCTTGCTTTGGACCCACTCCTGTCTATCCTCCTACTTCTACCTTTTAGAATGGGAATGCTTATTTTGTGCCACTGTACGTTGGAAGTGTTTGGGTTTCTTTTCATCTTTACGGGGGCTTGCACCTAAGAGTTTGCCTCAAATCTCAGAGCGGACTTTGGATTTGGACTTTTTAGCAATGCTGAAACTGTTAGACCTTGACAACTCTTAGAGAAGCACTAAATGCTTTTTGGATAAAGGGATGCACAGGAAACCTTTTCGGGGGGCAGAGGCAGAATGTTATGGCCTGTGTCTAGATGTCTCCTAAGGCCTCGTGTGCTTCCTCATCGCTGTGGTTGTACAGAGGTGGCTGGATCTCAAGTGTGTGAGGGTGGGTTAAAGGTGTGTGAGAACTGGATTAGTCCACTGACTGGTTCAGGTTGTTCTGGGTGTGGGTAATGGGAGGCCCCCACCGCGTGGGTGTGGGTGGCACCAACCAATAGGCTTATGGAGAGTGTAAAAGGAAAGATGTTACCTTCTACCTGCCACTCCCTGAGCTGTTTCTCCTTTGCCATGCCCTGCTGCCTTGGAGCCAGCTGACTGTGGACTGAAACCTCTACAAACTGTGAGCTGAAATAAACCTTTCCTCCTTAAACTGTGGGTGCCAGGTATTTTCTCAGCAATGAGAAAAGTAACTAAGGTACCTCCTCTCACAGGGAGCTCATTAGGGTGTCTCTGAAGCAGTGTGGACTTGCTATTTCAGCACAAGACAGGACTTGGCAAACTTTCCTGTTAAGGGGTCAGACAGTAAATATTTTCAGCTTTCTAAGCCACATCACAACCACCTCTTGCGAATTTCAACTCTGCTATACATAACACCAAAACAAATGTTCCAATAAAATGTGCATGGACACTGAAACTCAAAGTTCATCTAAGTTTCGTGTGTCACAAAACATTAGTTTGATTTTTAAAACAGGTTTTTATTTTGAAATAGTTTAATACAAGAAGGTACAAAAATAGAAAAGTTACTATGCACCCTTCTTTTGATATTTTTTCAGCCATTTAAAAATGTAAAAGCCATTTGTTTCGCTCACAGGCCAAGCAAAATATGTGGCAGCTGGATTTGCCCTAAGGTGGGAGTATGTCAATCCCTGTTCTAATGGGTGTAAAGCATCACAAGGAATGCAGAAAAAGAGAAGATTCAGGCCAGGTGCTCAGGAAAGGCTTCCTGGAGGTGAAGCCTGAATCCAGGCAACTGAACACTAGATGAAGAAAACTGCACGTAATTAAAAAGAAGCTTTAAGGAAACAATTTTCATTGTGAAACAACAGTTTCTGTTATGGCTGTGTCTAGATGTCCCCCCAGAGCCTCATGCAGTCATAGCTGGGGCTTTTCAGAGGTGTCTAATCTAGGGTGTGTAATGTCTAAATCAGCCGCTTGATTGGTTTGGCACAGCTCTCACTAGGGTGTGAGTGCTACGCTTGCCCTAGGGTGGGAAGCCTGCACAAAATGTAAGGAACAGAAAGAGGGCAAATGTGCTCTTGCCTGCCTGCTTGCTATGAACTGTGACACCCGTCTGCCAGGATACCCTGACTTGGGCCCAGCCGACCATGGACTGAAACCTCTACAAACTGTGAGCAAAACAAACCTTTCTTCCTTTAACTTTGCATGTTAGGTATTTTGTATCAGCAACAAGAAAAGTAATTAAGACAGTTTCTTAGACATAACACACAAAAAATGACAAGGAACCAAGAGCCAAAAAACAAATTAGATAAACTGGACTTCATAAAATCCAAAAGATTTCTGCTTCAAAGGATACCATTAAGAAAATGAAGACAACCCACAGAATGGGAGAAAAATATTTGCAAATCATACATTCCTAAGAATCTTGTATCCAGAATGTACTGTATAAAGAACTCTTACAACTCAACAATTAAGACAGCCCAACTTAAAGACAGGCAAAGGAACTCAAGAGGCATTTCTATAAAGAAGATACACAAATAGCCAATCACAATGTGAAAAGACACTCAACATCTTTAGTCATCAGGGAAAAGCAAACTAAAACCACAAATACATAACACTTTACACCCACTAGGAAGACTAAATGAAAAGACTGGGAACAACAATTTTTGATGAGGTTTTAGAGACAATGGAACCCACATACATCACTGGTAGGAACCTGTGAAATGGTGTAGTTGCTTTGGAAACTGCCTGACAGTTCTCGGAATGTTAAACACTGAGTTGCCACATTACCCATAATTTCACTTAGCTACACAACCCAAAGAAATTGTTATGACTTCTGTCCCCTCAAAGCCTCAGGCAATCATAGGTGGGGCTTTTCAGAGGTGGCTGGATCTAGAATGTGTGATGCTGGGGTTAAGGGTGTGTGATTACTAAATGAGTCCACAGATTGGTTTGGCGCCCACCCCAAGCTGGGTAGCCTAGGAAGAATATAAAAGGGGCAGAAAGAAGCTGCTATTGTCACTTGTCCTTACTTACACTTGCTTGCTTTTGCTGTCTTCTGCCTGCCATGAACTGTTTCTCCCCTGCCATGCCACCCTGTTCTGTAGCCAGCCAACTATGAACTGAAACCTCTATAAACTGTGAGTTAAATAAACTTTTCCTCCCAAAACCTGGGGTGTTGGGTATTTTGTCTCAGCAACAAGTAAAACAGAAATGAACACAGGTCCACAAAAAGTCTTGTACATGAATACTCATAGCAGCATTATTCCTAATCATTCAAAAGTGGAAACAACCCAAATGTCCATTAACTGATGAATGGATCTTTAAAAATATGACATAGCCATACAATGGATGGAATGTAGCAATAGGAAACAATGAAGTACAAAACCTTGTACGACCTGGGTGAATCTTAAAACAGTATGTTAAGGGGAAGAACTTAGACACAAAAGGCCACACACTGCATGATCCTATTCACATGAAATATCCAGAATAGGCAAATCCACAGAAGCAGAAACAAGATTAGTGGATTCCAAGGGCTGGGAAAGGAGAGGAGGGAGTGACTACACAGGCATGGGGCCTCTTCCTGGGGTGACAGCTATATGACCCTGTGACTAATACTGCGACCCACTGAACTCACTTTCAAAGGTAAATTTTATAGAATGTGAATTTTGTCTCAATACAGCTCTTACTAAACAAAAAGGAAGTTTTAGGGATTAGCCAAACAAGAAAGAGAATTCAAGGAAAATGAATGCTCCATATCTCCCACCTGCTTAATATGGCTGGAGCTAGCGCAGAAAGGCATAAGGAGCGGGCAGGAAGGCCCTGGTAAGGGAAGACTGAAGGAGCCACTCTCAAATAGAAGGAGAAGGAGCTGCCCGGACCCAGGCAGAGGAATGTGGACTCCAAGGAAGGACCCTCGACCACTTTCCTGCTCTAGACCTAAGGACCAGCTCAACCCAGGACCCTGGCCTCTCCATCAGTAGGTCAAAGCAGTGATTTCCTTACCTCCTGAGTCTTGATCACCTCTTTATCTACAGGGCAGATTGGCACTGAATTTAATTCTCTGAAGAGAAGAATAGAAAGAGCGCCATGGTTAGTGTTCATCCCCCACAGCTCTTTCCAGAGCAGCTCAGTGCTGCAGCCACACCCCATCTCCAGGCACAGCATCGCCCCATCTTGGCACATGTGGTCCCCTCTATGCAAAGGTGCCCCAAATCCCTCCTTCCGCACCAGCTGAAAAGCTTCCACTGTCCCTGCAGGATGCAGTCAGACAGAGGCCCCCCCGCCAGGGTTAAGTGCCCCGGCCTCTGTTAATCCCACTGTACAGCCTCCGCCCCCTTTACCAGACTGTGACCCCTGGCAGACTGACACTGTTGTGCTCCACACTGCACCCCTACTCCTAGGCTCTAGACGCTGGAGCTTAAGTGCCCGGGAGGCGCAGTGCCAAAGGGATGAGAATGTGCTACAACCCTTCAAGGCAGGCAGGGTACACTGGCCTCTGGGCCCGCAGAAGCCCCAATGCCTCTGCATGTCTCTCCTGGTCCCTCTGTTAAAATGGCACAATCCAGGCTGCTACAGTGTGGAGGCTGGATGTCTCCCAAAGGTCCATGTTAAAGGCCTGTTCCCAGGGAGCTGCTATAGGGAGGCAGGGCCAGGTAGGATGCCTTTGAGTCACAGAGACCGTGACTCAAAGTCTTCTGTTTCCTGGGTGATGAGGTGAACAGTCCCACACACCATGACATGATATGGTGCCTCACTGCAGGCCCAAAATAGTGGGCCCAGTGAATCATGACCTGGAAACCCCAAAACTATGAGCTAAAATAACCTTCTTGTTTTTTCTAAATTCATTGTCCTGGGTACTTTGTTATAGTGATGTAAGGCTGACCAACACACAGCTTCCAGCTGCCCAGGAGCCCAAAAGCCATGGCAGCAAGGTACCAATGGCAACCACAGTGCCTCTGCCTCAGTGCAACCAACACTCAGGGAGAGGTGGACACAAACCACCTCCTCACAAAGCCTATGCCTGCGGCCTGCTGTCCCTCACGGGACATGTGGGGTTTGAATTTTAAGAAAGGGTGAATATGCATAAATGAAGGCCAAAAGTGAAGGCTGCTCTCAGGGCCAAACAGCAGGGTCTGGGAGAGTCCCTCCCACTGTGGCTGCAGAGCCAGCCCCACACTACCAGCTACGCTACACCGTGACTAGAGGGAGGCTGTGTTCTACCCTCACCTCAGGGACAGGATGCAGTGCTGGCAGAAGCGGTGCCCGCAGCCCGTCTGGTGGGGGTTGTGCAGCACGGAGCAGCAGAAGGCACATTTGTAGCGCTCTTCCAGCGGCTCCGTAAACCAATAATCTGTGTGAGGCTCAAAGTCCAAGGAAATGGAGTTGCTGGAGTTCTGGCGGATGAAACCACAGGGGACCCCACCTTGCTCCTCTGAGTAAGCCATCCTGGGAGTCAGGGGAAAAGAAGGAAAACTGAAAGTAAAAACACCCACTTCAGCCCTCAGCTAGTTAATGCCTTGTTTCATAATCAGTGAACATTAACTACATCGTCATTCTGGTCTGATTCCTCAGCAACAATAACTTCCTGCCCCTGGGGGCCTCCTACAAACACGAGGTGACTTTGGGGTGCTGGGCTTGAGGCTGATCCAGACGATTTCTAGCAAGAATCTATGAGATGTCAGCTCTTTGTCCACCGCCTTCCACAAGGTGCTACATATCCCGTCTCTGTGGCCACAGGCCTGCACCAAATGCTTCCAGGTGCTAACTGCACCATAAACAAAGCTTTACTGACTTTTCTTCCAAGATTGAGAGAACCGAAATGTGTTTTATTAACATTTTTCAGAAGCAAGAGTCTTGCACAAATACATCTTTTACTATCAACGTTCATCTCTCCCTCCCTCAACTCTCTTGCCACCACTGTGGGTGGCAGTCTGTCTGCACACTGAAATCCTGCCCATACGGTGCTGCTGAAGGAGGTGGGGCCTAGAAGGTAATGGGGTCGTGAGGGTGGAGCCTCATGGACAGGTCTGTAGCCCTGCAGAAGAGACCAGGAAGCTCCCTCCCTTCTTGCTGCCCCATCCCGGAGCAACCAGAAGAGGGCCCTCGCCAGGACCTGCCCAGGCTGGCACAGATCTCAGGCTCTGACCTCCAGAACTGTGCGAAACAAACCTGTCACATAAGCTACCAGCCTGCAGTCCTGTTACACACAGCAGCCCAGCTGAGATAACACTGAGTCACCTTCTTCTCACTGAACTAATTAAGAGCCCAGGAACTGCTTTCTCCTCCACTCCATCTCTGTGCTAGAAAGTCAGGGTGAAATTTCCAAGATGCAAGTATGATGCCAGGTTACCTCCCCCATCTCTCAGGGGCTCAGCCATGCTTTGAGGGAAACATCTGCCATGCTGAACAGGCCACGGGACATCCTTCCCACCCCGCTGCACTTGGGCCTCCCTCCTTCCCTTTGATTCCTGCGCCCCAGCCACACAGGCTTTTGGCTCTGCGATAGGCCAGGCTCTCCTGTCCCGGAGCCTGTGCACCTGTCCTGCCTCCATCCGGACTGTCCTGTCCTCCTTGGTCTTCTTCATTTGGTTGACTTACACTGTGCTTCCACTTCGAGGGTCATGTCTTTCCGCCAGCTTCTCTTCCCCGGTCTGACGGCACATGGCCTACTCGCCCGTCCGTAAGGCATCCGTGTGGCCTCGGGAAAGGCTGGGAATGCGAGTGGGTGAGGAGGAAGACTTTTCACTTTACAACCCTCCTGAGTTTTTGAACATGAGTGCATTCCCAATTCAAAAATGAAAATATAAAAATAAAAAACAACATCCGCCAAGTCACACTGCGCATTAAATCAGGTTCCTTTCCCCAGAGCAGTTCCTGGCTTGGGGTCGGATGTGCACCTGTGTGATTATCCGGTTTGTGCCTGTGCTCCTCGGTGACACAGTCTGCATCCATTCTGGGTCACCACTGCACTCCCCACTTCTAGCCCTGCCCCTGGCTTGGAGAACAACTCAGCTATGGGTTGAATTAATGTTTCTGAATATATTCTTGAGAAAAACTCCCAATAGTGCAGCTGTATTAGTGCTGGCCTCTAACAGAGATTTTTAGCTTATTTTTGTGCAAGACCTCCCCCAGCTTTAAAAATAGGATGAAAACTCTAGACCTCCTCACAGATGGGAGGCCGGGGGGCAGCGCCAGGATGGCTCGGGCCACAGACCCGTGTGGTCTAGGGGGGCACTCTGGAGACCCTGTCTCTCCTCCACTAAGGAAACTCACCTGGGCCTGCAGCAGCGTGTGGCCTGATGAGCTGGGTGAGAGATACACAGCCCCATCTGCCCTGGGCTGTCTGCTGCTCTGCCTTTCCCATGTTCCCCGACCGGCCTCTTGCCCTGCTAGAGCATTTGGAGCCTGGTGTGCCCAGGGAGAGAGGAGCAGAGTAAGCACCAGCCTTTTCGGGCAAATAAGCTTCCTCTCTGGGAGACTAGAGGATGTCTTTCCAATCCAAGGCTTGAGGTGAAAGCCCTACCTCTTCTCTTCTGCATGTTTCCTGTAAAACTCCCAAGAGTGGTAAGCAAGCAGTGCAGGGCGACTGTTCCCCTTTCAGCATGGTTTGCCCCTGGGGTCTAACTGAAGTTTTTTTTTTTTATGTTATTTCTTTTTGTTTTTCAGTTTTAATTGAGTTTATTGGTACATTTTAGGAATACAGTACAGTTACATTCATTGTTGGGATCTTGTACCTCTACATGACAGGTCTTGGTTCTCATATTTTCCCCTTGTCCCTGCCCGCCCTTCACCCCCTCCTCCCCTCCCCATCTACAAGCACTTTATTTCCATTTCATTCTGAAGAAGAGGCACAGCATCCAGACTCCATGCACAGAACTCATAACCACAGCTCCTTTTGTGTTGGAAGATGGGAACGACCGATCTCGTGCTGCCTAAGCCATCTGGTGGCCTCTGGCACCAAGGGAGGTCGCTGTGCCACACCTGAGCCCTTGTACCATGCTCTGCATCCCTCTGAGACTCCTCACTGAGACCAGGCTCGTGTCTGTGTCACACAGCAGCTACACGCGGATGCTCGGAACTGTACCCCGAAGTGGCAGCAGGGTCAAGGGCCAGGGCAGCCCGTGACCCTCCACGACCTTCTGTCCTACTCCCCCATGCTAGAATCCTCTGGGCTTGTTCATCTTTCTCTTTAACTGTAGTTGTCAAACTTTAGGGTCTTAGTCAAACTTTAGGGTCTTAGTTTTACCACTGCTATGGTCTGAATACCCAATATCCAAATTCCAATGTTGGAACCTGAGAGCCAAGGTGACAGATTCACCAGGTGGGGTTTTAGGAGATGATTAAGCCGTCGTGGTAGAGCCCACATGCGCTGGATAAGCAGCCCCTGCAAAGAGCAGGTGGGAACTGGCTTGGGCCTTTTGCCCTTCTGCTCTTCTGCCAGGTGAAGGTCATGGCAGCAGCAAAACGAGAACCTGCACCACACACTGTGCCCATGGTCCCGCAATCTCAGCCTCCAGAACAGTGAGAAACAAATTTCTGGTTTTCATAAATATCTGGTCCGAGGCACTTTTGAGGTATTTATGAACTATGATCATATCCTTAAAAACTGAGGCCTCAACCAGCTTGGTGGCATACTCTGGGAGGCTGAGGCAAGAGAATAGCAAATTCAAACTCAGGCTGGGCAAGTTAGTAACTTAGTGGGATCATGCCTCAAAATTAAAAAAAAAAAAAATTAAAACAGCCTAGAGATAAAGACCAGTGTGAAAGTTCTGGGTTCAATCCTTAGTACTGCCAGAAGAAAAATGAGGTCTCAAAGACCCAAAGATCAAGGTAGCCAATACAATATTGGAGGGGAAGAACCAAGAGAGACACTATTTGATTTTGGAACTTATATAAGACCTACAGTTATCAACATGGTGTAGCATTGGGGGAAGAACAGATAAAGAGACCCCTGGAACAGAAGGGAGAGTCCAGAAATACTACATTTCCCTGATATTAAGATCCAACCAGAAAATAAGCCCTGGCATGATCTCTTGATGCTCCAAATACAAGCCCTGCCCAAAACAAGCCCCAGCTAAGATCACCGGCCAGAGGGACACATTTAGCAGGTCCTTTGCAACACGTGATAGAGAAATTGAATTATAAAGTAATACTAATATATAACTAAACATAAATATTATTGACATTATACTTAAAATAAATGATGTTATAAATTATAACTACGTATTTGTGAACACCAAGCGGGTGCCTCTGGAGAGGTAAACGCCTGTGTAAAGTGATGAACTCAAGCCTCACTGCCAAGAGGGCAGTCGGGGCACACCTGGCCGTGGACAGACGTGGCTGTGTCTCAGATGAGTCTTCAGAGCTAAGAGGCCATGGCTGTAACGGGGCACTGCAATTAGGCTAGAGGGACAAATCCTCACTGAAGGAGTGCTCTGCTGCTGGCCGTGAGAGGCTGGGACCGATGGTCCCACAGGAAATGGACCCGCAAGAAGACAGGCCAGGATCTGGGGTTGGAGAGACACGACGATGCTCCAGAAGAAGGTGGTGTGACTGTGTGTGAATAAATGTAGATTTTTGTACATGTAAGACATCCCCTGAAAACAAGCCCTATTGTGTCTTTTGGAATAAAAATTAATGTAAGACTCAGTCTTATTTTCAGGGAAATACCACAGCCCCACAAAAGTACTACTGACTGATCCTTGACAAAGCAACAGAGCAGGGCTGCCCAATGATGCAAAGACAGTGTTTGCAACAAATTTCCTAGAACTGGACCTCCGTATGAAAAAAATCTAGACACAGATCTCACGCCCTTTACAGATATTAGCTATAAATGAATCACAGGCATAAATGTACAATGAGAAGACTATAAAGCTCCTAGAGGTAACACAGGAGAAAAGTCTAGACGACCTTGAGTTTGGCAATGACCGAAAACACAACACAAATGCATGTCTGTATAGAAAGAACCGACAGGACGTCCACTCAGTTTGTTGGGACTAAAATAAAACCAACTTTTTAAAAATTGAAGGCTCCTAAAACTTTTAATATGAGTTATATTCTATGACATTTACCATATCTGAAATCAAAATGAAATAATTTTAAAATAATTTTTAATTAACTTCAACATACTAGTAAGCCAATAGCACGTTAGCATAAATAACATTTTTGTGAAAAAGCATTTTCTCAAACGAGAAAACAATCCGTAAGCACAGTGGCCCTCTGTCCACGTCTGCATCTCTTCGGCGTCTGCCTTCAGAGAGCTGAATGCCCGCGCGAGCCTCTGCGTCACACATCACCAGCCGGCAGACACCCCGTGGGTGCCAAGGAGGGAGAGCAGAGAGGCAGCGCCGTCTCCCGTCGCTCGGAGGCCTGCTCTGAGCATGGTCTCCGGGATAGGGTGCTGCACAGTCAGTCCCAGCAGGGCGTGTGTCAGCAAGCGTTTACCGACAGCTCCGGGAAGAGGAGCTCGTCCGCTGCATGCGCCGCTCTACGGTTAAACTCGCCTCTGGTTTCCAGAGGCCGCGACTCCAGCTGGGAAGAGACGCCCAACCGCCCACAGTGCTTTCCTAGTTGCACCTGCTCCCAGGGCCCGGGAGCACTTGGGAACCACTGCTCCTGGAGGCTGCTGCTGTGCAGGTTTGTGTCTCAGCGGCTGCACAGCCAGCAGAGGCCCAGGGTCTCAACGCCCAGGCCTTCCTCTCCCAGCCACTGCGTGTTCCCCAAACCCATTCCACTTGCCTATGCCAGCCGCGGCCCTGTTCACTCCCTAATCTGCTGTCTTGTTCGGCATTTGTTTTCACTACACATTTTCTAAAGTCACACTTATGATCAGTTATAAGATGGGAACGTCAGATATCGTCCTACATAAAAGTACTTTGGTGTCTCCCTGAGCAGGGTCCACTCCTGCCTCTGAAGCTTCCTCGTGCCTCCACACACGCGGATCCGATCAGAGGGACGGCACAACCACACAGCTGCAAAGGCTGCCGCCTCTGCAGCCCTCAGTGAAAGGGCCGCCTCAGGCTGCTCCTGCGTCCTGCCCAGGGAGCTGTTCTCATAGGTGTGAGCAAGCACTCCACTTATTAAAACCTTCCCCTTGGTGCATAACGGCTTACGGAACAGAACAGCAAAGGAGTTCAGTTCTTACAAAGAAGAAAACGATCATCAAAACCACTAATAATAGAGCTTGCGTGCTGCTTTCCTGGCAGCCCGTCAGGGAACATGCGTTGTTGCTCTCCTGCTGCAGAGGTGTTAGCTCAAGTCAAGAAAGACCAAAGACAATCTCATCCGTCTGCTCCCCGGAACTCTTACTGAGCTCCTTTTAAAGGCCATGTCTTCATTTTATAAATGGATACATTTTTTTCACAAAAATGATTTTTTAGGAATTCCAAAGGATAGTTGTGATTGTCACAATCTAAACTATTTACTCACAATTTCTTTGGATTCGTTTCTGGGGAATACACAATGGTTCTGCTTTCTGCAGCAGCATGCATTTGGCCTTCGGCTATAGTGTTAGTTTAATCTCAGGCCTAACCAAGAAAGGTAGGTCTTCCCACACCAATCCAGAGCCCCTGACACCCTATCTGGACTCAGGGAGCTCTGGAAAATGTGGGATATTTCTGCCTGTTTGGTAGTTCCTAAGATCTAAGTCCAGGAACTGTGACTCCCCAGACCTGCCTCCTGGGCAGTTACTGGTCACTGCAGGCCACAGAGCCCATCATCTGGGCTCCACAGGGCTCTGCCCTCACAGCTGCAAGGCTGGGATACTGCAGCCTGACAGCCAGATCCTTGTGCTCTGTGGTGACGCATCGTCCCCCTCCCACGTGCAGTGTGGCAAGTGCAGAGGCAGCTGACACGTGAGGCCCGCTAAGGGCAGAGGGACCTGACGTGGGAACAAGCGCCACCAAAAGCACCCTTGACGAAGGGTGCTGGAGCCTGGATGAGGGGCCGCTAACACTGCTTCAGGTGCCTGTGCTGATTTTACCAAGAGGAAAGCGTGTCAGCTGGTCTCAAAGAAAGGGGCATTTTCCAAATGGAGAAACGTGAGAACTTCCCAGAGGATCCATAAAAGTTCTAGGATGGTTACGAATAAACTGCAGCCAGCGAGGAGCTAAAGGAACGGGTGATCGTATGCCTGTCTGCTCAGCTCCGTCTCCTGCTCCTGCTGTGGCAGTGTCTTCGTCTCGCCTGCTCTCCTGTGTGAGGAAGGTGACCAGATCCCGGGGCAGGGTAGCTGGCGTGCCACTGGGAGGCAGAGCCTAGTCAGAAGGGACCGGTCACTGGGGAGGCCTGGAAGGGCGCTCTCCCTCCCCCACTCCCCCCCCTCAGCTTTCTGGATGCCGTAGGATGAGCAGCTCCCCTCTGCCAGGCCCTTCCACCAGACCCTGCCTTGGAGCTGGCTATGGACTGAAATTGCTACAAACTGTGAGCCAAAATAATTTCCTTTAAGGTGTGGGTGTCTGGTATTTTGTCCCAGAGACAGAGAGTGACTCAGCCACGGGATGAGACATCGGTCTCCCACGCTCCCTGGCTCCCAGCTAGGTTCAGGGAGTGAACCCCTGGTGGGGGTGGAAGCAGAGGGGAGACACCACGGGACTCACCCCCGATCCCCCAGCACTGGGCAGCATCGCAGCATGACTCGGTCCCCTCCAGC